TGTGGTTGGCTGTTCCATGAGCAGGGAACCTTGTCAGACCTGTGAATCACCCCTAGATCACTTCCCTCCCCAGAGAAGAAACTATTCCCGTGTGTGTGTGTGTGTGTGTGTGTGTGTGTGTGTGTGTGTGTGTGTGTGTGTAAGGGAGAGAGACTGAGAGAAAGAAAGAGCAGGCAAGAGTACTAACCCACATGTGGCACTGACCTTGGGGCTAGAATCCTATTTGACCTTGCCCTTACCTGGGGCACCTTCTTCTCCTCTTTTCCAACCCATGTTCCTTCCTTTCTCCTTCCCAGCTTACCAGGAAGTACCACTAGATCCCAATGCTCAGCTCCAGGAACCCCTCCAGGTCTGAACAGCTGCTCCATGTTTATCTGTTTCTCTTGCATGTTGGGAGTTTTCCATGGGGCATGTAGCCCAATTTCCCATCAGACTATGAACAGCTGGGTCTTCCTTTTTGCCTCAGTCTTTCCTTTTCTCTCAGCTTCAACTGTTGGGTCTTAGGGTGACCCAATGGCCAGGAACACCAAATGGAAACTGGTATAGGGTGGTACCCATGATGGGGGCAGGTACTGAGTAGAAGCTCTACCCAAAATTATCTCAGGTCAACTTCCCAAAAGCCCTGTGAGGTTACAGGTGAGGAAACTGAGGCCCAGAGTGACTGGTCTAAGGTCGCACAGCTAGGAAGTGCCAGAGGCAGGATTTGAAACTGATTTCAAATTTGCCCAACACCACTGGTACCACCCTGATTTGCCCAACACCACTCATTCCATAATGGAACTGGCCCTTGAAGAAGACCCTTGTCAGGTTGTGGCTGCATATTCTAACTCCCGTGGGACTGGAGCCACAGTCTAAGGGCTAAGGAAAATAAATAAATAAACAAAGGGCAGAGATATGAATCAGTTTGGGACTGATTCCTAAAAATGTGGCTCCTAGGACCAAGATCAAAAACTGTGATGACCTAAACACAGGGAGATGTATTATTTCCACAAGTCAACCCTTAAGTTATCACTTCAAGTGTCACCAGGGACCAGATATCACCCTGGATTTGCTCCACTCCCCCTGCCTTACAGTGACTTCCCCCATTGTCATCACAAACTCCCCTCCTGGCATGTGGTAGGTGTTCCACACAGTGGGGCAGTCCTGAAATACCACCCTGCCTTGCTGTTTCCCTGTCCTTCAGGCCTGAGGCTGGCCTCCCCCACAGACTCCAACTGAGAAGGGCCCCATCTGAGGTTTATATCTTCCTTTGGAGGAAAACTGACCTGTGCTCACCCAGACCTGCCTTGTGCTAACTGGGAGACCCTAAGCAATCTGGTTAACATCTCCAGGCCTCAGTTACCCCATCTGTAAAAAGGAATTAAAGAACCTACCCCACATTGGGGCACATTTGATGAACTGCAGGAATCACACGAAAACGTGCATGTTAAGCATTGGGCACCATCAATGGTAACTATTAATACTGGCCATCATTTGTATTCCCTAAAGAGTCCTGCAGAGGATCAGAACATTCATGACTGGTATTTGTCTGAAATAAACAATCAGGGAAGGAAACAACTGTAAAAGCACAACCCTCCCAAATCCAAACAGATATAAAAATTCTTGTTTGTTTTAGGTAAACAAGCTTCTCTCCACCACCATATGACTTGACATACACCTACACACACCTGTGCGTGCAAAGATTTTGTGGATGTGATCTCGGATCCTTATCAGAAAACTTTCAAATGAAGGGATCTGCAGTTTGCATCCAGCATCATCCGGGCCATTTTAAAGACTAAGCCAGTTCACCTAAAGGCTCCCCAGGGGCGGCTCATAAAAACTTGGAGAGAAGCCCAAATCCATGCCAGGGAGCCTGCCCTAAGCAGCAGCTGCCCACCCTTCCCACCCACCCCGAGCAGGGGTTTGACAGATAGGAAGGAAGCCAAGGGCTGACAGCACCATTCACCCGATGGAGGCTACCTGCCTGCCTTTCATAATCAGATGAAAAGCACAATACCCTAAGTGCCTAGGCAGCTTACCCTCCTCATGGCAACAAGCACACCCTTTGCTGGACATCCTCAAAGAAGCTTTGCAGTGTGTTCTCAGCATTCTGGAGCCAGCAGAGCTCCTCCTGCTCAGGCCCCAGGCCGCTCATCAGCTAGCTCCAGCTAATGTGCACAGCCCATAAAACCTCTCTCCTCTGCAATTTACCAAACCACAGACTCAGAATTCACCATCAGTGGAGGAGAGGCTGGAAGGAGGTCTGCTTCTCCAGTGTAGTGGATTTCCAGAACATACGCGACTTCAGTGCAGCATGTCCTGCCAGCTAACCACACCGGAGTGCCTTACACAGAACACTTGACCTTCTGGTGTGCGGTGTCCACTGTGCAAGGGCCAAGAGAAGAGCAGATCCTAAGCCTCAGAGGCCACAGACTCCCCCAGCCCGCTCTTTCTGTGCTGTTGGCCCCACAGGACCCCTTCTGTTATTGGACACCCTTTGTTATCCATTAAGACCCCACATGTGCAGGAACCTCTCTACCCCCAGAGATTTGTCTTCCTGGTCAACCCCAACCAGGTTTAGAGTACATTCAACGAACACCCACACCATGGGCACAAAGCCAGTTAGACCCAGGTGCTGTGACTAGCTGTGCTGCGAGTCACTTTACCCAACCTGGTTCTCAGTTTCCTCATCTGTAAAATGAGGAGGTTGGCCAGATGAGTTCTCAGCTCCACTTTTCCACAACGTGTAACACTTTCTCCTTTTATTGTTTTCCAGAACCTTAGTGCAGATCTCTGTGTGGCCCCATCTGTCTGGTGACATCACTCCCTGCCCCAAATATAATGTCATTGATTCTTACACAGGAAGTGGAGATGTCCCGGGAAACACTTTGTCCGTAAAAAGGGAGGAAATGATCATTTCAAGGGAACTAGACAGGACTTCTTTTGTATTTTTCACATAGAACAAGCTATTAATCTTAAAACCCCAAATCGTTCTTCCTTTTTGCCAGACCATTAATAACTGCTTTTCAAAAATACTTTCTTAGTCAGAATCTCACCAATAATAAGCTACCATTTAATGAGTGCTTGTTATGTGCCAGGAACTGGGCTAAGTGCTTTACATGGATGATCCCATTTAATTCTCCCACCAGTCCTATGAAGTACGTCCTATTATTATTCTCACTTTAAAAATGAGGAAACTGAGGCCTACAGAGGTTTAAGTAACTTGCCCAAGGTTGCACAAGTAAGTTAGTGGCTGAGCCAGACTTTGATCAAGACCTTCTAACTTCAGAGCCTAGCACTTAACCACCTTTCAATCTTGCCTGCAGTGGGTCCCCGGTCACATTAGCAACATTTTGGGTTTCTTGCCAGTACATCCTGCATCTGTAATCTTGGACACCATTGGTCAGAGTTAAAATTTGATGTTTCATCTAAATTTCAGAGCTGGAAAAGCACCTGCTTGGGTTTCAGAGCTGAGAGTGCCATCTGTTGAAAGCAGTGCCAACCTCAACCGGGGACTAGAAAAGAGAACCCTTAAAAACTTAGCCTACATTTCAGAAAAGAGGTTAAGAAGGCTAGCTCGATAATAAACCCTGGGATGTACAAATGGTCATCTGTCCCTGGAGAAGGGTGACTACCTGGTGACCCAAACCCTCCAAAAAGAGCTTTCTTGTAATGGCAGCAGAAGATGCTTCCGAGCCAGATGACACAAGAAGAACCACTCTCTGATCACATCAGGGAAAGTCCCCCACAGGCACCCACCTCCCTGCCTGGTCAGAAACCAGCCTCCACGCTTACTGCCTCCCAAACTGAGCAAAGCCCCATTCGCTCAACTGTAGAGAAACCCAAGTTCAGAGCTACGGTGATAAAGGCAGAAAGAGGAGCCCGAGGCTGACATCACCACAAACCCCAGGCCCCCTCCAACAGGGAAATAAAGGCACTTCAGAGATCAATGCGCAATCCAGGCCTGCAACCAACAGCCTGTTTTAATTGTTAAAATTAATGCTTTGCGCATTCTAAATGCTCCTTTAAGTGCCTGATTTGCAAATAAGATGCAGTCCTGCTGTCCCCCTGACCCCCGTGCTGTGGATACCCAGCTATGGGTTTCTTCTATCTCAAGTCCAGGAGCACAGACGCTCAGACGGTTCCTCAGGCGTCAAGGACACGCTGTTTACTTCCTAAGGTGTGAAGGATGGGAAGACAGGACCCGCTGAGATGAAAGAGGGACTGTCCTAGACCCTGAAGCCGCTGCCCAGTCAACCTCAGCCCCTTCTCATTAAGTTTGTGCAGGGGAGGTGGAGGGGCAGTCGGCCGCTCCTTGGAGACCACAGCAAACATTCGCCTCCTCGTGTCTGGAGATGGAGCATCACTTAAGAGGAAATGAACCCGGTTAAGGGTCACGTCCAGAGGAGGGATAAAAGGAAAAGCCACAATTCTCCTCACACCGACGGACACAATGGCTTTAAGAAGGAAATCAAAGCTCGGCGCTGAGGGTGGAGGTGGGGCAGGGGGCGCGGCGGCTTCCTTCTGCCCCTAGACCCAGGCCTGGGAAGGGAGAGACAGCGAGAAGGTGGGAGGCGGAGCGCGAGGCTTCCTTCCCCAGGGCCAGCCTCTGAGAGCATCTCGGGCTGTGTGAGTGTGAGCGACCCAAGCCCCCGGGGAGGGCCGGGAAGATGCTCTTTCCCAGCGGAGCCGCTCAGCGAGGGGTTGACGAAAGCCCCCCCACCATCCATCAAGGCTCAAGCGCGCAGATGACTTCACCGTCCTAACAGACAAGGGCAGCCACTTGCCAATTCCAATGCCAAAAAAAGAAACCGGGGAGGGGAGAGCGGAGGAAGGACAGAAAAGGCTTCCCTGGAGATCGCAACCCTGCGAAGAAAACCCATAGCTGAGTACTGCCCTGTAGGCACTTAGGTCCAGGATTCTGCAGAGGGGAGCGGCGAGGGGCCACCCGGGGCCCTCCGGGGATCCCTCCCAGGAGCCCTGGCCAGCGCCCCGCAGGGGTCGGGGTGCGCAGTACTCACGTAGTGCTTGGAAGGGTTCCTCCGCTTCTCCACGTCCACCACGGTGGCATCCTGCACGCAGTAGGCGAGCATCTTCCCCCACAAAGAGAGTAGCGCCCCCCGGCGACGTCACCTTCTCATCCCGGCCGGGCTCCGGCTCCTCCCGCTGCCCGGTTCCTCGGGGCCACTCGCCACCACTGCCCGGCGCGCCGATCGCTGCCCCGGCTCCGGGCGCCCACAGGTACGGCACCGGGGCGGGGGACGGTCCTGGAGAGCACGCGGGCTCCGTGCGCCCGGGCGGCCCCCCGTGGGCCTGCGGCGCG